ATACAGATATTGATAGTGTTTGACTGTAGTGTATAGTAGAGTTTAGTAATGATACAGATATTGATAGTGTGTGACTGTTGTATGTTGTCTAGGTCAGTACTGATACAGATATTGATAGTGTTTGACTGTAGTATGTAGTGGAGGTCAGTAATAAAACAGATATTGATAGTGTTTAACTGTAGTTTGTAGTGGAGTTTAGTAATGATACAGATATTGATAGTGTGTGACTGTTGTATGTAGTAGAGGTAAGTAATGATACAGATATAGACTAATACTACAGTCAAACACTATCTATCTGTATCATTACTGACCTAGACTACATACTACAATCATACACTATCAATATCTGTATCATTACTGACCTAGACTACATACTACAATCAAAAACTATCAATATCTGTATCATTACTGACCTAGACTACATGCTACAATCATACACTATCAATATCTGTATCATTACTGAACTAGACTACATACTACAATCCGTCCAAATCTGCCTCGAACTGTAAGAGTGTGTAAAAACTTGAAATAGAGCGCTTTTCAAAAATTCAAGGAAATAACTAATTGCATATTTTTCAACACTTTAAATGAGGTTTCTAAATGGTTTTTATGAGGTTTTATGTAAATTTATCAATAATTGTGCCTTTTACATTTACTAGCTAAAGAACAAGTTATATTGAGATAGGGTTCATCATTCGGTGATCATGAACAATTTCGTCTAAATCGTTAAGAATTGTGCTTTTTCGATTATTTACAAGTTACAGACTGAACGCATTTCGAAAGACAATGCCTCATAACAATCAAAACATTGTTAATCTTATGATTTTTCATTCATAATAATCACTCATATGATAATATACTAATCAAATAAGCAATTAGATGCTCAGTAGGAAGACTTTGTTGTTTTCCTTGCACCAATAGTCCAAATACAGGAACAGTTGTCTACAAATCCTACGCATACCGCCGCATTGAGTCTATTTCTAGCTTCAGTTTTGGTGATTAAAGTGTCAAGGTTCGCTTGGGTTCGTCGTGTTGAAGGGCACCAGAAATCCTGAAACTCTATAATTCTTCTTCTACAATAGTTAGTCGCACCTTACACCTCAGGGGATGAAAAGAAACCCAGACTGGGAACCAGGAATATACAGTATTATAGCTTGGAATTTAAAAATTCAATAAAAGTCTGTCAAAAGTATAGCTTTTGTAATTATAAACGAATTGCTGACGCATTCCTTATGGTTCACATCATATAGCGATTGTAGAAATGTTTTGGACTGTGAAATTTAGCGTCCAAAATGCCCGAAAACCACAGTCACCGATATTAAATATGGCGGATATTTTCCTTCGCTAGGGATATTAAAATGCTTAGTTTAGTGTGCACAATGTGAAATGTGCACAATATTTATATTTTTGAAACCTAAAAAGTGTAATTTTTTGAAAAAAAAATTGGATGAAATCCACAAAATGAAAAAAAAAGTGGTAAAATTTAAATACCACGTTTTTCTCCATAGACTAACATGGTGACATTGGCCTAATTTAACAAGTTACCACGCCATGGTATATAGCTGTAAGGGTACATATGACTATTTACCACGCTTACCACGCCGGTGGTATATAGCCACTGCCATTAGAAACCCCGAGGATATAGATGTACCTTGAACATTATATGCTAGTAGGTTAAATGTGCGGATGAAATGGATACATATGAAGTGTGTGTATCCACTGAATAGGTTGAGTGATATTTAGAATATATGCAGCAACATAGACATAATGCCCATTATTTTCTGACGTGTAATAAAAGGTTGGTGATTAGAACCAATGTTCCGTAGATTGATCCCAAATCCAACTTTATGTTTGCGTTCATATTAAGTTACTAAAAGCTTCTTCACGCCTCGGGTGATTCTTGTAGAAAATCGTTACTTTGGAACGAAATAACAAAACTTCATCAGTCTAGATCCAATCGAACCCCGTCTCGCTTTAACAATATTGCACGCGATGCCATGATTACGTGACGTTGCTGGGGCGAGAGAGAAATACTATCAGTTCCGGCGTTCCAGGCCACTAGGATTATAAAGAGAAAATTCGTCATGGTAACGAAATCGCAGTTATTGCTGAACACAAAATTCATACCGTAACAAATTAGTTTTCTTCAACTTCACGAAGAGTGACTTGAAAACTTAATTTACTTTCTGCATGAGTTGAATGAGATCGAAATGTAAAACCATGCTGATGAATAACAAACCAATTTCTTTTCTTATTACAGAGTCAATTTCTTATTATCTGTGTACGCTCTAATATTCCATAAAATCTATACAAGAAAACTGCTTCTCTTTCCTTTTAGATTTTTTTCAATTTTGACATTAACCCAATCACATTTTAATACCTTTCCAAAAATCCCTATTTGTCTCTGGTTACGTATAACAGGCATACAGCAGAACTACCGCAGCGGCATAGTACTGAATTTAACCGAATTGAGCACTGAGTGAAACAAGAATAATATTTTGGCGTTCCGTTACTTGGATTTGTCAGTAAACTTATTTGAATGTGGAACCACCTTACCTGTAACGTGGGATACCCTCTTACTCGTCTTTATTATTATAGATAGTCGACATGGCAGGGTAACGCGAGGTACCTTTTTCTTCTGTCTTAATGTGCCTATTAAAGTTATACTAAGTCTTAGAATGAACATAAAATTTAAGTTCTCGAAATGGTCAATATGAGTATATATTCATCAGTTAGTTTACCTGGTGTCATAAAGTTACAACAGAATCCCTGTAAAATCTAGAAAATTGATAAAACTAAGTAATTATTGAAAAACGCTTAATATGGATATTAGGCCTAAGCGTTTTTCAATAGTTAATTGCATATTCATGGATAATTAATAATAATTAATAATAAGTTTTTTGGATTTATCGGATTATACAAGTATCCTGTTATTTCATTTATGACACCAGGTATATCTACTGGCTCTTATTCGCCAAGTTTAAAATTCTGAAATTGCCCGAAATTTCCAACCTAGTTTTTGCCCGAAAAAACTTGCTTTTGGGGCTGCGGGGGCTGACCCCTCTGTCCCCCCTTTGTCTCTGTTACAATGTCGGCTAACAAGATTAATAAAAACAAAAGAGAAAACTACCCTACGTTATCCTGTCGACTATTTATGATAATGAAGACAAAAGAGAAATGTGTCCCATTAAGACATAAGAAAAGGGTATCACGCGTTACACTTTCGACTATCTATATTAATAAAGACAGAAGAGAAAAGTACCCCAAGTTATCCTGTCAACTATTTATGATAAAGAAGACAAAATAGAAAGGTGCCCAAAAAAGACACTAGAAAAAATTATCCTATCGACTATCTACATTAATAACGACAGGAGAGAAAGATGCCCAATGTTAGCCTGTCGACAATCGACATTATTAAAGACAGAAGAGAAAAGTACCCCAAGTTATCCTGTCGACTATTTATGATCATGAAGACACAAGAAAAAGTTAACCCGCGATAGCCTGTCGACTATCTATATTAATAAAGGCAGAAGAGAAGGATTCCTGACGTTAGCCTGTCAACTATAAAACATAACTTATTTATATTATTCCGTATCTAATATCAACAATTTCATCACAATCAAATTACATTTTACATCATATTACTGACCCAATCAGGTAGATATTTTTAACTTTTAACAAAATTCATGGTTTAATTGTTAACAGACACTTCATATCAGATTGTAGTACATATCTTACAATAGAAGTAATGTTACATTTACAGCAATGGTTATACAACATGTACTTTGATTTGGTCCTATTGTGCATGGAAATTACACTCATCATGGCACTCATATCTTTGCTAAACAAAGTACTTGTATTTTAATTGGATATGACAAAGTAGTTAAGATACAGGCTTTTGAGGCATAAAAAACATCAAAATAAGTACCTTCATAATACAATATACTGATTACAATGAGGTTTCAGGAAGTTACAATAGTTTAAATTAAGTAATCATCAGGCCTTACAAATCTATAATTTGGAGAAAAGGAGAGCCAGTAATTATTTACCTCTGTTAAAAAAAAATACACTCTGGGAAAGGGGAGTGAACAATTCATCTGAAGACCAATATTAAAAGATAGGAGGATTAGATTACTCGTAAACCATATTAAGAGAAAAATATTCATTAAAAAATTTCTTCAAAAAGTGTAAAAGGTACTGTTTTCACTGTAAACCTACATTGATAGGTTAGGGCAAATGTATGTGGTAATCTCTTCACCTATGTACCAACCTACATTGGGGGTGGAGGAGGAGGTGGTGGAGGGGGTGGGGGAGGAGGAGGAGCACCAACTGAACTTCCTTCTGAACTTATGAATGGTGGTGGAATTTCAGGTTCTGAAACAAAATAACAAATATAAATTTATTACACTTTATATTTCGTTTTAATTTTCATGCAATACAGATAATCAAAGCAAAGATAGTTTTTATGTTTTTAAGTCGCTTTAGGTATACTGGGTGACTGTCTGCAATCACATGGTCCAAGTCAGTCCATCAAACCTTTATCAGTATCCAGGAAACAGACTGAGAACAAGTTTGCCTTTTTTTGCATCATAATTGTAAGAAATAACTAACAAATTGTATGATTAGATAACTAGAATTTTATTTGCATTTGTTCAAATTCCTAGGTCAACCATACATTAATAAATTAAAAGAAAAATATGAAAGTTTCCTAAATGAAAAGTATTTTTAAGAATTTCTGAACTTCCTTTAATGAACATGAAAAAACATAAGGTCCATTTTCACTCAAAAAAGGGAATGTCTAAAACAGAACTTTTTCAGAACAGGGCCTTCATCTTAATGATCCTGAAGCAGCTGACTTTTTATTATATTTTCATAAAGCATAACATCTAATTATAATGCTTGGAGTCATGTTTCAATTGAGTTTTATTAGCATTTATATCTACATGAAGATTCAGTTGAAATCAAACATAAATCAAAGTAGAAAGACAATATCTTAATTTAGTATATTAGCTACCCTACACACAATTCAGTATACCCACACACAATTTAGTATATTAGCTATCCTACACACATTTCAGTATATCCACACACAGTTTAGTATATTAGCTATCCTACACACATTTCAGTATACCCACACAAAATTTAGTATATTAGCTACCCTACACACAATTCAGTACACCCACACACAATTTAGTGTATTAGCTATGCCACATACAATTCAGTAAACCCACACACAATTTAGTATAGTAGCTACCCTATACACAATTCAGTAAACCAACACACAATTTAGTATATTAGCTACCCCACACACTATTTGGTATTTTAGCTACCCCATACACAATAATGTATACCCACACACAATTTAGTATATAAGCTACCCTTTACACAATTCAGTATACCCACACACAATTTAGTATATTAGCTACCCTACACACAATTCAGTATACCAACAAACAATTTAGTATATTAGCTACCTCACACACAATTTAGTATATTAGCTACTCCACACACAATTCAGTATACAAACACACAATTTAGTATATTAGCTATCCTACACACAATTCAGTATACCCACACAAAATTTAGTATATTAGCTACCCCACACACCAATTGAACATGCTGTGATAACAAAGTTATGTAAAAGAAAATTTTCCCCACTCTTTTATTAGTGAACAATATTAATAACATCAGACTTCAGACTTTTTTTTCAGAATTAATATAGAAAAGGAAACTGTCAAAATATAAACATATTTGTACATATCCAGGTAGGATTTAGTAGTTTAGTTAGTGATCTTTACATTACAGTTTACAATGTTTTTCTTTACATATATAAAATTTATATTATTTAATAGACTCTTTGAATCAGACCTGGATGAGCTCAAATGTCTTTTTATCTCCAGATGACTTTACACAGACCAGATTTTAATATAAAGCTCATCAAAGCATTCAATATCACCATATAAGATTGGAAGACCAGAATAGTTAGAAGTATGTAGAAATATGCAGTATTAAATAGTGTTCTAACAGACTAGTAAGAAGACAGAAAATCTTTAGATTATGGTAGCAAGTTATAACTATACTTTATCTTACCAGTTTATCCAGATGCTTTAATATAAAATATAAGATAAAAATATTGAGGGTTGTGGTAAGTGAAATATTGTAGTGTAAAACAGCAAAATGTGCTATATGGTTCATAAACAAGGTATATCTATATATCTATAGCTTAATGTTAGGAAATGCAGGAATTTAATTCTATTTTCTGATATTTTATATACTGTATTTTACATCTTGAAATGATTTATTTAAGATCAATGATATGAAAACTAATTTGAATGAACTTTATAAACTTCAACAGGAATGATTATTTGTGAATAGGAATAGTGTTTTCAATCTATCACCACTAAGTGTAAATACCTACCCTGATTTTGGGTTCCTGTAGAAGGGCCATTTTGATTTTCTTGACTGGTTGAATCTGTTGAAGCCGATTGGTTTGAATTTTCAGCTGTAAAAATAAATAGATATATGCCACTTTTAAGACCTTAACTAAAAACTATGATAATCACACAATGATATTTGATAAAAGATATTTTAAATTAGTCAACAAAAATTGTATGTTCCTTATGGAACTTCCCTTGATAAATTCAACAGTTAATCATAATTTTATATAATCAACTACTTTCATTTAAATTTTAATAGGGTCTTCTTACTAACAGAATAAAACCAAAGATTTGGTTATAAACAGTTACAAAGAATTAATTTTTTAATATGGAATAAGACACATTACCTTTTTCCTTTTCTTTTTCTTCTGCCTTTTCTTCAGCTGCTGTCATGTCAGCCCGGAAAAATATTCTTGCACTACTTAGTGAGTAATACAATAAATCAAACTCCTAGAAAATAAATTGACAAAATTGGCATATTCAGCTGACCAGGTTTGACTTATACTCAAAACTTACTCTACCTAAATTCAATAATTCTTTTGAAAAATATTGTACTTTTGATACCATTATCTGAGTCAAAGAAGAATTTTCTGATAAATTGCCAAGAGCAACACATAATAAGACATATCTGTCTAAACTGACATTAAACAATATAATTTGATAGAAAGTCTAACCTGCATGTATAAGTCAATACGTTTTAATGTTAAAGACATTGTTTGTTGTAATTTTTCATCAACTCTTCCTGCTGCTTGCTGAGACACTTGATTCTGTAAAATTAATATTTTCTGTTAATTTAAGAGCAGTGATAAACTTTTGTGAATCTGAAAATTCTGTGTGTTTTTTAATTAAAATGATGCTTAAAAATGTGAATTAAATTCAAATGCTGTTGCTTGAATATGTTATCCATTAAGTAGAGATTGTAATTTTTACCATTAATTCTTCACAAAAAATAACAAAGCAAAGTTATGACTAGATTAGACTGGATTCTACTCAACATTTCTTTTGGATCAACAAACTGATTAAAATGACTGACCTTATCATGATAATATTTCTCTCGTACTGATTGAAACCAATGTAAAGAATCAAATTCATGATACTGATCTAATAACTTCAATATATATGCTACACCTATATTAATAAGAAAATATCTCAAATATTAGCTTTGTTTATGTGTAGTTTGTTAACATGTGACTTTAGAATGTTATTAGAAAACAGATGTACATTTGAGACAATGAATCCTTATCACAGATTAAAACAAATTATTCTCAGTCAGTTATTAACATTCTCCCATGCAGATATCTACATGGTACAATATTATGCATATTGTAGAAGAACTGGATGTGAGATTGAATCTGAAATGTGCTAGAGATAGTCGTAGTAGTTGAGATTCATTACACTCTGATACATATACATACAAATGTATTCAAAACTAAACCATACACTGCTAGCAAAAAAAATGTACATCTCAAATTTTTGGGGGAATTTAGGTAGACTAGTTAGTTCAGATACGGCAAGTATTTGAAGGCCTACTCATTTGTAACTCTAGAGTAATATCATATGACATATTTACCCATAGAAAAGCCATCATCTGTAAAAGCTGCCCCAACTTTATTCTTTCTGTTCATTTTCTCTTTACAACTAATAGAATGTTCTACAAAGTTTAATGTCTACAAAAAAAAATATTTGTTGGACAGATTGACTACATCAAAAAGTATAAGTGAACCAGAGTTTTCTATCCTGATATAAACCTTGAACTTTTGAAAAAATAAACTATGCAATTTTCATAGCTCAATATCAATTATAAATTTAGACATATTCCCAAGTTTCATGATAAAGATGAACAAAAACTTTGTAATGTAATCAATATTGATTGACATTCAAGTAGTTATTTCAATACCACATGAAGTGTAGGTACTTATATATTTGTGTGACAAATCTTATACAATTTTTGTAGGTAAAGTAGAACAGCTCAATAGGTATTTTCTTACAATGTACATGCTATTTTAAAGAAATGGCTGAAATTTAGATTTTTTTGCAGAAATAATGTTAACATGCTATAAACTTTATAGTTTTTGAGGTCATGTGCCACCAAGTATATGCAGATAACCATATTCATAAATACAGTAGGTATATTTCAACTACTATATTTACTTACCAAAGGAGGAAGAATAACAAAGAAGTTTCTAAGATGCATATTTTTAGGATTCCTGAATTCTGGTGAAAATACATCTACTAACATCTGAAACAGAACACAAATTAATCAATTGTATAATGACAGTAGTAAAATAAAAACAACTGTTTACTAACAAGTGGCCATAATACCATAAATAATAACAAATAAAATATACCTTAAAATAATCTGTTCCTTCAGCAAAATTCTTTGCCAGATTGTTGATAACCATATCTAGATTTCTGGGGAGAGAAAATAAATTAACTAGAAAAAGTGAAAAAAACATGGGGAAGCCTGGAATTGCAGAGAACATAAATTTCCCAAATAATATATTTCATGGGTTCTGTGAATGTCTCTTTTTTTGTCATTGGACCCTTAATTATCAGTGTTCCGCAATTTTTTTCTTATTCAACTATCATATTCTTAATGGACTACCATTTAATTCTGAACTGTCCAATTGCTTACTATTCTATTCTCACTGAAGAATCAGCTCTAAATTACTTGTATGTAAATATTAAATACTTAATTGTATGTAACTATCAAATACTTACTTGGCAGCAGAGGTACATTCTCCTGATAATCCTTCTTCTGTACATAATTCTTCAAAACTGATGATATCATCTAAATCAGGAATGAATCTAATGGCGTTACTACAGCAATGTAAACCTCCAGACCTAATCATTCTTATATAACCCATAGCATTTCCTACAAAATAAGTACATGTTATTACCCATTAAGTGTGAATTACATGTGAGAATATAACACTATATGATAAATTACCCTTATGTTATCATGTTACATAAAACTGATATTCTAATTCAAAAATTTTCAAATTGTGTGAAAGACAAGCAAAGTCTGATATTCTAATGTATATCTAAGAATCCTTTAATAACACTATTCATTTTGCTTTATGTTCAGTAAATTCCTCACAATTACGTTTGTAAGTTGAGTTTCATCAAATATTTTTACATTTGTAACAATACTGATTCTCTTGGACACTTATTTGTTTTGTTGTCCAATCTGGTATATATGTCAAGTGAAAATTTCATTTAATAATAAAGTTACGAACCTATCTGTGAAATCAAGGTACGAAACTGATCTAAATAGCTCTCTCCATCTGGTGTCATACCCAGTTTTCTTATTCCTTTATTAAACTTATCAGCTCTTTCAAATGGATATTTCTGATCAGTCTGCATATGATTTTCTCGGAAAAATTTCCAATCCTGAAAAAATTAATTACAATAAAACAACCAAGCCAAATAAATTTAAAATTTTCAAAATTTATTATTCTCAAAATTTCAATATCATTTTGTAATTTTCATTTCCTGAAGAATAGGGTTAGATGTCTCCATCTTTACTTTAATGTAATTTTCTTGGCTACTGATACAATCATATTACTTTTAAATCATTATAACATTAATATAAGCCTACCTTAATTAGCCTAGATTTAATATGATCATCATACATAAACTGAGAAAATATATAAAACTTCTTACGTAAAAACTGGTACGTAAAATTGATCTAAAAAAAAAAAAACACAAAAAATAAAACTGAAGAATTGAAAAAAAGACATAATCTAATTAATCACGCGTGCATGATGTGTTGAAAAAAATGATATAATTTAATTAATGATGCATTAATCATTGAGGTGGGAAGATAATTTTACAGTACAGTCAAACTAGTATTAAGCATGTGGTCAAGTGAATGCATAGTGTGCACACAATTAAGAATGAAAAGTTAATATTTTGTTATTACAGGCATTTACTAACAATGACAATAGGCATAATAACAATTAAAATAGCATAACTGATGTTCAACGTTAAAATAGTCTTTAGTTTGTGATTTTTACTGTTTTTTTCCTGAAATATTTACCATTTTGCATTGAATGTGAACTATAATGGACTTAGCAATAATGGCAAATTTGGTTTTAGGCCAATATTAATATCAATATTCTGCTATTCAATCAAATTTTAGGATTTTAATTCAAGGATTTAAAAGTTTGGTGCATGATTAAAAAATTAATAACTAAGAGTTATATTCATGGATTAAAAACAGAGGATTTATGTTTGGCAGTAATTAATATTAAGTTTAATTTATATATCGGATTTACAAGAATTAATGATTATTGGCTTCATATTGTAGGGTGACAAATGTTCAAGGTCAAGAAAATTGAAAGTGCTGCTGCGTCAAGAGGGTGGTGCTTAATAGAGGTAAATTTGGTTAAAAATTGCATGGGGTGAATTCTTGGTGGCTGTTCATTGAAGGGTGGTGCTGAATATGAATATGAATATGACTGTATATACAATAGTGGATATTTCAAATTCACAGACAGTGTTATACCATGTGTTGAAATAGATTTAACTATGTGCATTTTCTGCTGTGTTTTATGTCTGAATCATGTTATTTGTATATGTGCCTAATATACATACAATATATATACCTTATCATTCATTATACCAATAATATACGTTCTTATAGAGTTATTCATGTGTTTTATATACATTTATATAACTTACGGTTGTGTTCATTATACCAGTACCATGTGTTCTTATAGAGTTAGCTATGTGTCTAATATTGATGGTGTTCAAATGTTTATTATTACTTGTTTTCTCTATGAATATCTACAATACAATAATAATATTTAATATTATAAAACACAGATACTTTTTTTTCATGAAAAACAAAGTTTCTGTTCATGCACACGGACTTAATTTGTTAGCCCCTTGAGATTGCCAATCAGTCTGAAGGAATTTCTATTATCAACAGACTTGAAATCTAGAAAAATAACAAATTGTAATTAGTTAATTAAAAAAAAAAAAAATAAGTTAATCTCACCTGATTATTTAGGTTATAAAGAAATTTGGATACAAAAACATGAATATTTCTCATTATCTCTAAAACATCCAAGCCCTGAAATTAGAACATAGTTTAATATTAACCCAAATATCTTGATTCTTAGTATTACTATCATGACAGTAGGGCATTGTAGCTAAACTTGTTGCCATGGGTTTGTCATAAAAATAAATATTTCTTCAATTAAATAAATAAACAAATGCATAAAAGACAGCTACATGATCAGCACAAAAGAATAATATCTAATATCTGATATTTTATATTTGGTGTTTTGTTATGCAGTTCAGATCGTTAGTACTTGGGTTTTTATTTAGACCTAATTCATTTAGTTTCTGAGCTAATCCAATATCATTGTACACTATTCTTGCGTTCATTTTAAATCTTTCAGATATATATTTCACCTGTTCTAAAGTCTGACTAGGAAGATGAGGTTCAACTAAATTTAAACCATATTTCTGTTGTGCCATGTTTCTCATTTCACCGTAAGTTTTCCAATCATGTAAAGCTACTGTTGTTAAATTATAGAATGTTTTACTAAGATAGCTCTCTACCAAGGCTAAAAAGCAAAAAAAAAAGTAGAACAATAATGTTTGATTTTGAAGACAATGAGAGGTTTGGAGGGTAGGTTAAGTGTAAAAATACCACAAGTACAATGTGGATAGTAATATAGCTGCTGATACAATATATTAAGTCATATATATACAAATACCACTAGATTCTTCTATTGGTATATCAATTGATGACTAAAACTTTAGTTTACAACAGGCAGACATAGAGCAGAACCTTGAAAGTACTTGTTGTGGAATAAAAATTTATTTCCAGATTTCCAGATAATTCTGATTGAAACATTCCACTGCTTAAAGGATAACCTTATTAATTTAATTTGTACATATTTTTTTTTCTTCTTTTAGTACAGTTTTATGAATTCTTACATTGAAAAATGTATAAAAAATATGTTACCTCTTATATTGATATATCTATCAAAGAATCTGATAGGTCGTATTTTAAGAAGATGTGATAAATCTTTGATACCAACTTTAAAGGGATTTCTATCATCTAGTTGAAGATGTTGATGTATATGTAAACGTAGATCAGTTTCTATATATCTACATAATGGATCTATTAGATTCTGAAAAAAATTACACTTGATACTAAATTTGTTTAGACCTAGTTGTAGACATTTATATTCACTATCTTGATGCAATTTTTTTATCACAAAATCAGCTAATTACAGATTTCTACTGAAATTTCTTAGTTCACCACTGAAACTTGTTGGAATTGTCATTTTGTTTCATAATGTCTTAGATATGTAACAATTTTTTATGTACTTTCTTAAAATTACATCTATTTATTCAACAGACTCATCCTAGTTCATTCTAATCAGGTTAACTGACTTGTCAACAATAACCTGAATATCCTGGCCTTTTTACACTATGTATGAATGCTAATATATACAATGATATCATCCATTCATATTTCTATCAACACCCATTGAGTATCAAGTGAATGATTTAAAAAAAAATTATTCTTAACTTACATCATTCAAGAAGGCCATGATTTCTTTGTCAAATACAGTTAATAATTCTGTAGAGTCAGGAAGATGTTTTACTCTTAACATTGGTGACACACAATCTTTGATAGCTGTAAACATATACTGAAATATACAATAAACATAAACTGCAATATACAATAAACATATTATACTGAAATATACAATAAACATATTATACTGAAATATACAATAAACATATTATACTGAAATATACAATAAAAATATTATACTGAAATATACAATAAACATATCATACTGAAATATACAATAAACATATCATACTGAAATATACAATGAATAATAAACATATACTGTAATATACAATGAACATATTATACTGAAATAAACAATAGAACAGAAACACTTACATGTATTCTATGAGTATCTGTTACATTATCACATAAATCAGTTAAATATAATGGTAGTATGACTCTATGCCAGTATATAAAACTACAATCACAGGCCTGTCGAACCCTAAAATACATGATAAATACCAGCATAAAAATCTTTTCAAGCAAAACAAATTCTGTAATAGAAAAAAAAAATACAAGTATATCATGTACATATCCACATAACATGGATATTATCAAATTAATCAACCTACAATTTGCTTCAGATGATAAAATAATGTAAGAATCAATGGTATATTATACAATTACTAGTACTTTTAAACATACATAGTCTATTGACTTACCATATACCGGTATGGCAATATAACTCTCCATAATGAAGTACAAAATACATATCTATATAAAATGAAGTACATCTATTGTTTGAAATGTGAGATGCTAAGATTACTTACTTTTCTCTGAATTCACAGATAGCATCTAGTTTACGTAATGTTTCTGCTAATGTATTCAATTCATCATCTTTAAAGGCTTTCTACAATAACAAACAGATCTTTGTCCCCAAAAAGTATCAATAAACCCAAATAGCAATCAAGCAATGACTACTGTAACAGTTGCTATAGATTCTTAGGGTTACTTATACAACTATATACAACAAAACTATTTGTCAATTAATAAAAGCACCGAAATTATAGGAAAAACTACCAACCATTTTAGTTCCAACAGAGAGAGCTAGTTTTAGTATTAATCTACGTTCTTTAGAACCAGGACCATGTAGTGCTGTTTCTGCTAGTACTAGAGCTGATAGTACATCTAATCTACGTTCACTATATTTTTTATCTGATATTATTCTTTTCTGAAATATGATATACATAGCCATTTTCAACATTATCTTTGAAGCCTTTGTTTTGTATTCATTTGTGTATGATTTAGACATGAAAGTGTTTTCTAAACCTGACTTTATGCACAGAATCCAAGAAGTTTGGTAATTATTCTCTTATTATTTCTCAATTGCAAAATAATTTCTTTTGGTCTATAAAGATTGAAATAAATATTACCAAAAATATAAAAATAAAGAAAATACAAAACATCAGCACTATATATTTACCTTGGCTAAAGCTATAGAACTGAGGGCATTAAAACATAAATGTTGTATAATATGATTAATAGATTCAGCTATTAACATTGTTCTTCTATGGAATGTGTGTTCTATGGCCTATAATATAAAGTAAACATTAAACAAATTTCATGAATCAAAAAATATTTCATGCTGAACATTCAAAATCATTATTATAGCATGCAGTGTATCCAGGTAGCACAAGTGTCAAAAATTAAACATAATTCCAGGGTAAGACTGAATCTTGAATTACAAAATTATAATTTTAAATATTTACCTTCAATAACTCCACTAATTTACAAAGGGAGAGAACTGCTGTTTTGGTCATTGGTTTTTGTAAGGCCACATGTAAGTTCATTACTGTCCGTATTAGATGACTTAGATTGCAAGCATATAACAATCCCTAGAAAGTAGAACAAATATCTTCATATCTTCATATAATTGTTCCTGAAATTTCTATAAATGTTTCCTTTGCAATGTTTTGTGTTTTTTTTTTCTAAACATACAATAGCTTTATATTTCAAAGTTTTAAGTATACATGTATAAGGTAATAATAAATATATCAAAAATAATATAATTTGATGTTTTAGTTTAAAACATTATTGAAAATATTACCTGTATAAAGAGAACAGCTCTATTGTTTAAATCTTCCATCAATGTACCACCTCTAGCAAGATTAGATTCCATTTTAACCATCCAGGCTGAGACTTGAGTACTATATACTTGTATATCTCTACATAAAAAATACTTTTTAATGTAAAATACAATTTGGCAGAGTGCTTTATCAATTTTATCAAAAAATCAACTTTGTTTTGTTTTGTAGTAAATTTGTTTTGGACTTGTATTCCATTACAAGAAATAGAAATCTGAGATTCTCAAGGATTAAAAGAACAAAAGGACAAAAATTAAATCAGATAATAACTTTAGTATGCTAGAAACACAAATATAAACATTTGAAATTTTATTCTGTTATTAAGTTCTAGTACAGTCATGAAAATTACACCTAGCAGACATCTATTAATAGTTACTTAAAAAATATAACATTAAATAGTATCCATCACAGTATTAGCCTTCTGCTGATGTATAGAGAATTTTTTTTACAAACAACAATGTAAAGAACCAGTGAATTGCCAGGCAAGCTAACAAACGCCCACTACCAGCTGTCAGAAATGATAACAATGTCTTTAGTGACCTAATAATGAAAAAAAAATAATTGCCTTTAGTCAAGGCAAAACCTCAAAAACAGTTCATCTAATTCCGACATGAACAATGTCTCATCATTGTACACATAATATGAGTCATTGCCTTTGTTCTTGAAAACGTGTTCAATTTTTAGCTCGTGAAAACTCCAGAAGGCAAATCTTCAGTGCGGTAATGAATAATAAATCCAAGTTTTGTCAAAATCCCGCAAGAGTCATGCCTTTTAGTATTTAAGAGCTAAAATTTGAAAGCGTTTTCAAGAACGATAACTCCTATGAAGCATATTTCGATTTTTCTGATTTTCAATGAGATTTATCCTTGGGTGATAACAAACACTCATGCCAAGTTTCGTCAAAATCCATGAAGAATTGTGCCTTCTATAGTGTTTACGAGCTAAAAATTGAACCTGTTTTCAGAACAAGTTATACTTATTTTTTGATTCTTCCGATTTTCAATAGGGTTCATCCTTGGATGTTTACGAACTCTCACACCAAGTTTCGTCAAAATCCGTCAAGAACTGTGCCTTCTAGACGGACGGACATGGGTGACGGCAATATACGCCCCCCATTTCATGTGGGCGTATAAAAAGGATATGTTAATGGACAACAGACCCTCATTTGTTATTTTATTAGCAGGGATAATGTTAACATAATAAAGGGAGACAACTACGATTAAGACAACAATCATTACTATTACAATAATTATAACCAACCTTTGTTTACAGTTATTACTGATATTAAGATAGCCATAAAAGATAAAAAAAAAAAAAATTTCATTTGTTTTCATTTCTCCAAGCATTTTGCATTATGAACTCAGTAACAGGCTTTTGACATTTTTGACAATATTAAAAATAGCTATAAATATTCTTTAATAAAGAGTAATAGGCTCTTATTGCCAATAACATTATCATCTCAATCTGAAAGTCCAAACCACAATTTAGAAATTCTATTAGTGGAATGTATGAAGCTAACTGTCTCAAATAATTTACTAAACTTCATTAAAAGAATTACCTGGTTAAAAGCTGTGTTTTTTGCTGTAGCCATGTTGTTTGCTGTGTTTGGACAGCTAACTGGGCCTTTCTATCTAACAACTGATCTATATTAGGCAGACGTGACTGTATAAATTGACATGGAAACCAAACTACATTTCCCATTATATGAACACATGGAATCTGAAATAACAAAAATTAATCATCAAAAACATTTATTGCACTGTTTAGAAATCAATTAATTGTAGTTTTATACTGGTAGTGTTTTAAGCTTTATAGAATAAATGAAGAAAGCAATTCCATTTATTTTGGAAAATAATAGATGATAACTCCATCCCCAACTCCACCTTCAACTGGCTGGCATCAAAATGTTTGGACTGCGGTAGATAACATAACTAACCTTTTTATAGATATCCCACAACTGTTTAAATAGTTTCTTATCAACAACTCGGAATATTTGAAAATGTAGAATATACAATCCGCAGACACCAACAAATTTATACCGATGATCTATTTCATTATTCTCACCTAGTAACAAAAATAAATAAAAAGATCACATATTACTTTGCCCTAGATCAACATTCACAAATATTTAACTTACACTACTTAAAGAATGTTTCCATTTCTGAATCCACAATAACTAAAATAAATCAATATTTCATAAAAATACATCTTCTGTTTTAGTGAATTGTGCCCTAGTTTGTTTTTCGGTTTTTTCTGCCACAGAACTGATTTATAGCAGTCGAATCTGCTTTTCTGCCAATATCCATTAATTAAAAAGTTTTAGGAGAAACAGTTAACAGTTGACAACTTACCTATTCTACCCTCTAACTCTACCAGTATATCCTTAATATTGATAGCAAATTCTTCAGCTAAATTAGGATTTTTACTACAATTAATTGTATTACTATCAAACTGTTGTTCTACACAATTCTACAAATAAATAACACAGAAAAATAATTATATAGGTTATACCATATAGCATACTACTTACCAGACATGTTCTAAATCCCATAGGCTGAAATCTATAGACTAAAGACCAATGAGAAGCAAAGAGCAATAATTAGGTACCTCTTCTCTGAAAAACTTCCTACATCTATGCTAAAAATAAGCATATATTGGTATACATAGAGAAAATAGAAAGTACATTGTACTTTGATCATAATTATGGTATCTGTTTTTAGATATTTGATATTTGAGATACAAAAGAAAAGTAAATAACAATACCTGATATATCATACCATCTAATAACTTTCCCTCTAAAGACATCAATAATTTCTCAAAAGGTCTTAATTTTTCTTCTGGTACATTAAATTTACCAGGATCATGGCGTACTGATTTGACCATTCTGAAATTCAATTTGGACAAAATGATTTATTTTCGTAATTTCCTGACCATAATTATAGTAAATTAAACTATATAACAATCTGTAAAAAAAAATTACTTGCAAACATGCCCTTTTTTTTTTGAATATACTTGAAAATATTTTTTTTTTATAAATATACTTGAAAACATTTTTTTTTTATAAATATACTTGAAAACATTTTTTTTTATAAATATACTTGAAAACATTTTTTTTTTATAAATATACTTGAAAACATTTTTTTTTATAAATATACTTGAAAACATTTTTTTTTTTTAAATATACTTGAAAACTTCTTTTTTTTTTTCAAATTGACTGATTGTTGACTTTAGATAGACAATATTACAATATTTGGAGATTTTCAAACGTTTTGTTGATTTTTTTTCCCTGATTTTGTAGTTAATGTATGGTGAATATTCTCTTTTTGATGATTGTTTGGATTTATGTATAAGCTTTAATATTAATCTAAATTAAGATAGTTTGACTTACCTCTTATATAACATCCAGTGATCACGTATAAAAGATTGGTTAGATATGATAGAATCTAATGTTATTAATACACCAAGTAAATCAGCCATATGAGAATATACAGGCTAAAACATATAATAGTTCAATTAAAAACAAAAATTAATAAATTCCTACATTTTTCTCTTCCTTCTGACAGAGAGAAACAAAAAAGAATCTTACAAGTATTCAAATATGTATTTAAAACTTATAACTTACAGTGAAATGTACATCTGTAACATCAATCAATTTAGGTCCACTTCTGTAAACAAATCATAAACCAATTAAAAATTGCATAAAAATTTGTCAATGTATCAACTGTCAGAATCTGACATTTACTTATATCACAGTTACAATTTAAAGATGATAAACCAATCAAATTAACTCTATAGAATACATTTTGTTATATTGGAAGCTAAAATGGCATTCTTGAAAGAAAGAGATATGAACTTACTTGTAAGAATTATGTAATGCTGATAACTGTTGACAGATGTTCCTTATTACATCATAGGATCTGGATACAAAACATGATAGTTCCTGGAGAAATATAGTAAAAAAAAATGTTAATCTTACATAATATTTCAAATAATGAGTCTGGAATATTAGTTAGTGCAATTTGTCATGTTACATTCATATATCTTGTGTTCTTTATTTTCTGTCTGGGTTAGAAGGGATCACTCAACATAAGATTTGTCATAGCAAGAAAATATCAAAATAGGCTCTTTAACTGAATATAGAATGGTGTTTTACAGAATAACTACACATCTCAGTCATTGAGACAACAGAAAGATCAGAGTAAGACGTATTTATGTTATGAAGAAGGTTAAGAAATATAAAATAAAGAACTTTATGTTATACCTGGAATAATGGTATCATTCTACCCATCTGAACCTGAGCTTCACCTTCTTCTAATCCTTCTTCTGGCTCTACAACAAACATGTACAAAATCACTACCGGTACTACATATTCTTCATATTGTTGCATCAAAACTATGATATGCCAACTCAGTTTGCAGCATAATTACACTTCAAGCAACTGACCAATCGATAAATCATGCCTAGGTAGATCTATGCAATGACAAAAGGGACAACTTAAAGTAAAGGAAAGTTAAGAGCAACAAGACATATTTTAGAATGGCATTGATAGAAATTATGAGACTTCTGGCTTCCACGATAACTATCAATATTATTTTGCACAGCAGACAATTTTAACGATAGGGCATGTATCAAACATTATGTAAGCTACACCCCAAACTTACCACCTTCACCATAAAATAACAAAGCATTATAAAATTTGGTTTCTGCTTCATGTTTTAAATGTGACATTTCACAACATAATGCTGATAATACTGTGATTATTTTATTCAATACTTTATTATCTGTTTTAACTAAATTTAATAGATTGGTTTGTTCGTATGGTAGCATCTGAAACACAGAAAACATATTATTCAAAGCTAAATTACAAATTACAAATTTATTTTGGGAAAAGTCATAGACCTTGGCTACTCCTCTCAAAGCCTACACAGCCAGTAGCATTCTTGATATTGTTTTTTTTTCCACATTTCCATACAAAGAGAAAAAGTATATCAATTTATCCTTTTGAAAAAAATATTTACCCATATACATGTACCTGTAGAGCAATAGGATCAAGACTCATGTCCCAGGCATCTCCAATAGAATCATCCAAAGCATCTTCAATTTCTTTGAGTTGAGAAGCATAATCTTCCAGAAATTTTCCATATTTCTTAAGCTGTAGTTCTCCAACAATTTCTATGAAAAATAAGGCAATACATTAAAACGATCTTTTATAAATAGGCTATATTTAAGAGGACAAGGGTACGAAGACAAGGGCAAGAGTCCATATGAGATACTCCAAACTGCTAAAACTGTGGAAGACAATAATCTTTTATCCCTTTATCAGATATTGCTGAAAATCTGACAGAACACACACAAGATCAGACATAAAATTGATAATTGATAGAAAAACATAACTACAATATAATTAACTGTGTCTAAAAAAAATCCAGTGTTAACATACTCAGAGAACCGTCGTCAAACTTGTCGAATTCCCAATCAGTAGACGACGCCATTTTGACACCGCCTCACGTGATCATGTGACCTCTACTTTCACTTTGTTTTTCTTTTTAAAGCTATCATGCTTTGACAATAACAGAAAGGAAACAAGATGGTGTTTAACACCAAAGAAAGGAATAACATTAAATGGAAGATTTTATGTGTTTGTCTTTTTAACAAATATAAGGCTGTGAATAAATATTCAGTAACTTTGCATTGTACACTCAATGGTTTGGTCAGGCCCCACCCCCCCCCCCCGGTCACCGGTCACTTTTTTGAAATACACCTTTTCTTTTTCTTGAGTTAATAGGAGCGGCAGGTAACTGAGTCTGAGAGAATAGCCAACAGTGGTCATTCTGGTCAGGCATTTTATGGTAGAGTAAGTGCACCAGTCAGTTGCTCTTGCATTGTCGATCATATGATGAGTATTTCGATATTTTGATTATACGTAACGAAAAATAAGGTTATGGCTTTCAGGGCGGCCGTGGATATTCGCCACCCGGGTGGCGAATAGTCTACGTCCATTAATTTGACTATTCGCCATCCGGGTGGCAGAAAAATCTCTAAAAATTCATGAAATGTCAGCCTTTTTGATATAATTGTTTCTTTCAGTGACATATTAGTCGACTCTGAGTAATTTGTAATGGATTTTGTCAGGTTCAGACAAGACCGTGTTAATATAAATTTCTTGCAATGAAACGAAAGTAGAAATTCCGCCATTTTGTTTACACCAAATTAGCATACATCCCAAAAGGCCCTGTTAGTGTTGCTATGAAATTTAGCATCATACGTTTGTATAAGAAATCCGTAGAAAAAAAATGAAATAAAATAAAATTTTACGTCCTACTTTTCTGCACCTGTATGGGCTACTGAGGATGGGCAAACGCCATGCAGT